GTAGGTGCCGAGCCTTTACCTTTTAAGTTTCTAACCTATGGCCTGTGAATCACCAAGACCCCTTCCCAGGGCTTTGCTATACACTGCCAGGCCTCTCCTACAGGCTCTTCTAGGTGGGAGGTGGCACCAGTCACTCACTGTTTCCGTAGGGGGGTGGCTCGATGCAGCCACACAGCTCCCCGCCGTTGCCCAGCTCACAGGTTCTGTTGGGACAGTCCGCCCCCACACAGGGATCTTCAACCACTCCTGCTAAAAAGGAAAACACACAGAAACACGTACAACTTGATTTTCACACCTACGTGAGATAGCATTTGGTTGTGCTCTGGGCTTGCCACTTTAATCAAATTAGAAATGGTCAAAGAACAGCTACAGTTGACAGATGGGGAACCTCCCATAAAATTATGGCAGCAGCTGGTCACTAGGTGCTTGCTGGGGGTGGGCCTGGCACTGTGCTTTGTGCTTTAGCTGGACTATCTCCGTCCACCCTCACAAACGCTCCCCAAACTATTATAATCCCCATTTCACAGCTGCAACTTACCCAAGGTCACAAGTGAAGGTAAATGATGAAGACTGATACAGAGACGCTCTCAATTACCAAGGTCTACAACAATCACTGCACCTAGTACATTGTATTATAGCTACTTGCATTACTATCTTGATATTTATATAAAGAGTAGGGTCCAAATCATTTATCTTTATATTCCCAGCATCCAGCCACCTCACCGTTGGTGCACAATAAATATTTTTCAATAATGAACAATTTTAGGGCCAGTAAGATCCCAGAGAGGTCCCCCCTATCAGGGTTACTTCATACTGAATCATGGTCCCTTTTCTCCCCATAAATTTCTACAGGATTTTACAAGAATAGAAAAACCAAAACCTCCACGCCACTCACCAGCACTGACTTAGATTCATTGCATCGTTTTGCCAAACAAGTAAAATTATAAGTAAAATAAAAATGTATGTGGAGGCCCATCATGGTGTTATTACGAACAACATTTCTGTAACAGATGAGACTACCTATAAGATATTCAATGCCTCAGTTTGGGACCCACTAATTGGGAGTATCTTCTTTTAGAGCCTCATTTCTTTATTTAAAGAATCTCTGTTCATATCAAGATAGAAAAGTCCTCCTGTTCATCATGAGATATGATGGTTAGTGCTAAAGAAACAACTGTTCAATCCCAGCAGGAGCCAAGTTGGCTTGAAGAGTTTAAAAAAAAAAATGTAAAGGGGTTCCAAAATTTCAGTTAGACAGAAGGAATAAATTCAAGAGATCTATTGTATGTTGCAGTCCCTATAGTTAGTAACAATGTACTGTATACTCACAAATTACTGAGAGTATATCTTAAATGTTCTCATCATACACACAGGGAGAGAGAGAGAGAGAAAGTTGAAAAACAAAACAAAAATCTCAAGCTGTCACACAGCTCCTACCATGATTCAGCCACCACTAGGCCCCTCTAGTAAGTAACAATTTGTACTAGGTGGGAATATATAGATGACTTAGGATCAACCTGTTTTAATTTCTGGAAAAATGACTGAAGAAAATCCCTCAGCATCATCTACATACATATAAAAGTTTCCTTTTATAAAGACCCTTTCAACCTGCCCATGTGCTGAGAACCTGACACAGGGCTGAGCACACAGCAGCCACTCAGTGAATGTCATGGTTGATTAACACGATCTGGGAATGACCAGAGACAGTAACAGGAAGACAAAGTTGACATTACACCCCACGGGGAGGAAGAACTCAGTTACAAACGTGGTGGTCCATCTGCCAAAGGACGGACATGACACACCCTTACACAGAGGGAAGCTCTGAGGTTTCAACAAAAGTAGGCATCTTTTAAAAATTACACATTGTTTTTAAAGTTCAGAACGGTTAATTTTAAAGTATTGCTTACAGAAACGGCAGAGGAAAATATGATAATTATCATACAAAACATTTCTGTTGATTTCCAACAGAGATTAGTAATTTTCTTGATAACAGTTTCTGAAATCGCTGAATACATATTTTAATTCACAACATTGTCTTAAGGTTCTGCATTAATTATATTCCCACACTTGATCAGGCTTAGTCTGCAAGTTTACCAACGTGTATGTGCAATGTAGAAATGAGCCTGTTTTTG